TTCCATTAATAAAATTTTACTTGCTTTCAATAAATCCGTAGGACGATTAGCATCGCCAACCATTATTATTTTGTGTCTCACAATTTTGCTTGACTAAACCCGGAGTCCTAGTTAACGCTTATCGACGATCGCCCGATTGACCTACAGAATTCAGAAAATTGTCTCCTGGTTTGGTCTAATTTTGTTCAATTTTTTTTTCTTAATTCTAATTATCCGCATCTTTTCCCATGCTTATATGCTTATTAATTAGTGTCAAAAGTGTAAACCATGTAATATTAATTGCTTGTTCTGATTTGGGAGCATTCTGTGCCACTGTAGAAAACGATGTTGGAAAGCGAAAATCGTATATAAATTATTATAATTTCGAGCGTAATTAGACTAATTTCTATTTGCATTTATGCTAGGATTTCCACTTTGAACAATCAACAATATTTGAAAGCACCAGAAATAGTTTGAATGCGATAAAGAATAATAGAGGTATATTGTATTTCACAACTTATTCTCATGTAATATTAATTTATTAGAAATTTTAATGACTTTCATTCCATTTCTTGTAACTCAGGATAACATCTTCATAATTACAGACATTAAATTTTTCCACGTAATTTTTCTTATACATATAAAAAGCTTCACTTTACTCGCGAGGCTAAGGCCAAGTGCGTTATTTAAATTATTCTTCTGATTTAATGGCAATATTCAGTGGTAAAAAGTACGCGACAGATGTTAATTGAAATTCCTAGAATAATAAAGTAAAACTATAACTTTTTAAGATAAATGTCTGCAATATATTGACATAATCATGACAATTTAACTTTGTCATAAAGCCGACCCCCAAATATCCCGCAGCTTAACTTTTGTGAACATATCATCAGTTTCTTAAAACATTAAAATGAGGCAAATAATATACAAAAAAAAACCATTCAACCAATTCAACCTTTTGAAGCCTCATGGACTTCAGATGTCAAAGTTTTATATTATTCAGAAGAATCAGAAGAGAAAAAATGTGATTGTGCAATAGATCAGAATTTACAAATTGCCAACTAATAAATTCTTATAACGACAGCGCGGGGGTATATAAGCGCTATAAGCAGAGGGAAATTAAACACAGCATGCAGCATGAAGCGGGTAATAAAATTGCAAGTCGATCAGCTCGTGTGATGATCATGACACCGTGTTATTAATCTGAATTAGCGTTAGCGGGCCGCAATTGGACCGGAATAGCCGCCTCATGCTGCTAACTAGTTTTACAAATGGGATAGTTAGTTGGCATAAAGCCGTATTAAGACTATACCATTTTTCATGGCCAAGCAACATTCCTGCGGCATCTAGCTAGAAAACATTAATGTCGTAAAAAAAATGTGGGTGGTAGTTCAAGTGCAATTTCATTGGTTGGCGTTTCCAAGTTAATTAAATTATTGAGTATCCTATTTTAATTAAAAGCAGATTGAAAGCGCATAATTTGATTAACTCTACGCTTGGGGGGTCATGAAACTAATTCATTAGGTAAATGACCACAGCTTGGACTTCAACCCTCCAATTTCAATGTAGAGAAATTAGACAAAAACAGGCTCAATAAAAAATGAACTATCCTAGATGATGCAATGTTCCATCCCCTTTCTAAGCCAACAAAATCAAGTTCAAGTGCATGTGTCAAAATACATCAGACGTAAAAATCAAATGGTCCAGTTGATTCGGAAATAAATCTAGAGGCAAGGGTATTTACGAGTTGAAGTTTTGTTGGATTTTGAAAAAACATTTTTCATAACAACTGAAGTGGACTAGAAACGTTTTTAGAGCTATACAGGGTGTTTTCTAATTGATTGTCAATAGGTATTTAAGGAGGCAATTTTTGAGTGTATTTTAAGAAGAAAACTTCATATTATGAACGTATATTACGTATATCCTTAACGTCTCAACTTTTGAGAAACAGGGTGATACAGTTTTCAAAAATAAATAATTTATTATTAATATCTGTTAACACCACTTTAGGTATTCTAATGAAATTTGGCATTCATGTATCTGACCTGTGTATTATGGCAGACATTGATGGTACGCCAGTGACTTATCTCAAAATTAAAATAATTTTTGAATTCCCCAATGATTTTTCACAATCCGCCTCACGCTTTTCACTTAAAAAAATAAAATCTATTTCTCTGCATGGTGAGTCATATTAACGATATTGTTATGATCATGCAGAGAAATGGATTTTATTTTTTCTAGGGAAACCGTGCATCGGATTGTAATAATTCAAGTGATCAACTTTCCTTGGAAATGATTGGGGATCAGTGGCATAACATCAATGTTTGCCAAAATCTGCAAATCAAATTCCGTACAAAACTATTACAAAAATGTGGTACATTTAAAAATGCCTTTTGATATATAGAACCAAGTTTCATTAGAATATCTAAAGTGGTGTTACAGATATTAATACTAAATGATTTATTTCTGAAAACTTTATCACCCTGTATCTCAAAAGTTAAGACGTTTAGGACATACGTCCATAGGAAGTCTTCTTCTTGAAATATGCCCAAAAATCGCATCCTTAAATATTGACAACACCCTGTATATTGCCTGAAATACAGCAGAGGAAAAATATAACGAACAAATGTTTTCATAATATGAAATTTATACTCAAGAATTCGATTTAAACTCACATTTCGATACCAGGCAATGATTTTGATTTTCCAGAGTTTTTTCTCCAATTATTTTCACCGATGAAACAACTCACAACTCCGAAAACAAACAAAATTTAGATATCAAACACTGTGTTTATTGTCTTGGAAAGCATTTTCACAAAAACCTTTCACATATAATAAATGTCTATTATTGGCAATTTGCAAGTTCTACAAAATGGAACTTTTGTTACATTTTTCATCCAGGCTTTGTATGCCCAGTTCAAAGCATAGAGCTTTTGGTCCTTCGCTTCGTGTGTAATAATTAAATTCTGCAAATTCTCGTATCCACTATGCATCATATACTACATAGATCAGGCCAGTGATATCATAAATTCCTTTGTATGTCTCCACAAAATATTCCAATAATTTTGAAAATGAGGTTCGATTGTAACTAGTTGAATGGGGAATGATTGCAAGCAGGTTGTCTGATCATAAAAAAATATTGTTTTTTTCGAAAAATTATTGCGAATATAAATTAAAGTGTATGTACAGGGTGGCGCAGAGGAAACGCATGTCTTCTGAATTTCACAACTTTCAACAGTGGTTGGAGACTTGATTCACATTATCTTCCATCACTAATTTAAAAGTGAACTTCATTCAGCTGTATTTAAAACAAAATTATCTTGGAAAGAAAAAAAATTATGATGCGTTTCCTATGCGCCACCTTGTACCTATGTATGATATCCGCAGGCTTATTCTCTACAAACAGCAATTACATAGCAACCAGCAACCGGTCGCAAGTTGCTTTTTTTAAATAGAAAATTCGCGTTTGACAGCGACTGGACAGCGACGATTGCGCAATTCTCTGCGGTTGCAAGTTACAGAATAAGGCTGCCGATTTAATAGAAATTCTGCAGTATTTTGATTTGTTCTCAAATAATGGCAAAAGCATATATACCTATATTTATTTGTCTTAGCAAATATAATGTTCGTGTGTCAATATAACAGAAAATAACAGCTTCAATTTCCAATAGCTCTCCAAAAATATTATATACACAAGAGCCGCTCTTGTCTCTTATATGGTGACGTTCTATCGATTTAACGGCCATGGTCAGGGTATTGTGTGGTTGTCTAGGGTTTCGGGGTTTCAGCAAATGAAATTATTCATTATTGCTGATGTGTGTGACTCTGTAACAGTTGGCAAGTCCTTTTATCCCCCGACAGCCATTCGCGTTGTCATCCGGCGTGATATATGGCAAATTTGCTCTCGGATTACTAATCAAAAATGTATTGTGTGTTAATTAATTCTCACTTCTCCGGCTAAATGGGATTATGGAGATGAGGGATTTTTCTGACATACTAACGTTGAATTTTACTTATAATTGAAAATTTTTGAATTATTCGAGGATGAATGACTCTCATGTATTTGAACCAGATGCGACTCAACATACTACAATAACTATTTAGTTTCAGTAAAAAATGGAAAGCAAAGCTTTCTTTATAGTATTTTGAAAACACCCTCTGTCTCGTAGGTAAAATAAAATGCAACTTAACCTGCCTTTCAACCAAAAACACACTTAACACCGCTTGAGGCTGACATTACGATCAATATATACATAGATAAGTATTTATCATAAAGCATAATATCTTTTAAGTCCTTGATAATAAAGCTACTTTGGTCAAGCAAGTTGAATCAATAATTTAACTCTTTGGATCCGGAACTAAAAAGCAGAGATTAAAAACAGAACTCAAAAAATCAGGCAAGTAGTGAGAAGTTTGAACTCAAGATGCTGGGACTGGAACATAGCAAAGGGTATATAGATTTACAGAAAACAAGGGGTTTTACCCATTTGCTAAAAATGAACCAAAAATTATTTATGTGCAAAAAAAAAAGAATTTCCTAATACTATATTGCAGAGTAATAATGGTAATAATGGAGTAATAACATTAGACAATCATCTTATTATGTGAATGGTTCTTGAACAGACAACAAGTTCTTCAAAAGCAAATCCACGCTCCAGCATAGCTCACCCATGCTTCTTCGAAATTGTCTTTTATTTACTCAAAATTGACTAAAGATGTCAGACCGAAGGAGAAGCCCATCGAGAGGGCAGACAAGAAGATGACGATGCAAGGGACCATCGACGCTCAAGCAAAAGACACAGAGGAGAATTATGATGGACCTGGTTTGTAAGTAAGTTCCTATTGAAATTCTTTGTTTAATTTGAAAAAAAAAGTCCAATGATTTCAACAACAAAAAAAACTAAATATTTAATTTATTATAAGCTATCAATTATTACACTACAACATGACTGAAATACTGGTCAACCCATGATCTTACATATCAATTCAATTTCTTCTTCTCTTTACTGATTGACAATATAATCAGGTCGAGTCAACAAATCCATATGGTAATCTTATATTATCGCTATACTTGTAAATCAGTACCTCAGCTATAAAAGCAAAAGTTGCTATTGCATGTCCTGATAAAACCAAATAGAACACAAACACTAAATTCTTAAAAGTCAACGTGGTACTTCCTTCGACGACATTTTCAGCACTAACCTTTGCTGAACTATGATTTTTTCGAGTATGCATCCATTTTCGTGCAAGCCCTGAAGTAACTGCGTTGTTTAGTAAAGAGTTTACTCTTTCCAAGCCCCAAAAGCCTCTCACCATCAAAAAACTCACTTGATAAGATATAACTGAAGTTGGTAGGACTCTTAAAAGCTGAGTATGCGATGCTGACAAGTAGTCATCTATAGCATATTTGACAAATTCTCGTTGGGCAAGAAAAGATGCATTCCTATGCATTGCGACGTCGTCAAGACAGTTATCATAATCATGTACTTTGCAGTATTTTCCTCGGTGAACTAGGTTATAGTGTACAGTCGTGCTAATTTGGAAAAACCTTTTAGTATTAGGAGCAAGATAGATGCTTAAATTTTGCTTATCAATATCATTAACATCATTATATTTTTCTGTATAGCGATTAGATTCAGCTAGCACACTAGTCAAATATGTCGTATATGCTGTATTGTATATTATAGCAAAAACCAAGACCATTGAAAATACCATTCTTACTGCATGGCTTTTTGGTACTAAGTCTACTGGTATATTAAGCATGGTCGTTAATAAATTTTGTATGGCTCTGCCAGGGCGTTTGAAGATACTACTTTCTTCCTTTGTATGGTTTGCTAAAAATATAATCAGTGATCCTGTTGTAACACTCAATAGGGCAATCACTATCCAAACATCATAATGAGTTATAGTTGTTATGCTTAATATTTCACCTAGAGGTATGTGTTCATGAGGGACAACCCAAACAAGGTATTCAAAAAAATATGGAATGCTACTGTCAAAAAACTTCATTCTGTCTAACGTTAATGAGAATCCACCGATAGCCAAATCAGCTTCCTTTTTGAATAATACCCCCAAAGATCCAGTAACTTTTCCGTCAAAATCAATGTCTCCAATGGCATCACTTTCCATAAATATTAAAGAAATATTCATGTAAGCAAAAATATTTGTTATTATACCAATTTCAAATCCATGTGAAGTGAATTCGTCACGACTCAAAAAATCTTTATTTTTCATATTAACAATATAAGGGGGCACTTCTGTATAAACAATCTTCAAAGTACACGATTTAAATACTTTTGGTATATAAAAATCATACCATTTAGTGTTTAACGTAAAATTTCCATGTCTGCAAGTGTCAATTAGTTCTATATCTTCTTCTGCATTATTTTTGCAAGTAGCATCCCTAAATTGTATTAGACTGAACAAATTAAAATTTGACTTGTCTTTTGGGTCCCCCATTAATAATACCGATTTTAATATTTGAAATTCTTTTAGGACTGTAAATATTTCATTTATAATCGGTTTGGCGTTTTCAAAATGCGTTGTGGTAACTATTAAAAAATTAGCATGTGGATTAAGGACTCTTCTCTCATTTATTAAATCGATAGATTTTCTAAGTTCTCCGCTATGTCTAAAATATATTATATAATTATGAATATTATTTGCTGTTCTTACTTTTTGATTTGTCATATCTTCTTTTGTAATATTTGCAATGATCAGAGGCCATTTTTTATAATCGGATATGTTATTTATTAACATAGAGTGTGATACCATGGCTGATGAGTCGTCTAGGTCTTGTTCACTAATTGGCAAAGATATAAAAATAGGTTTTGAAGGTTTTCCATACAATTCTTCACCCTCAAGTATACATTTCACAAACGAGTCTCTATTTACGTTTTTATCACTGGCGGAGGAATAACAAGATACGATGAAGAAAAATACGAATAGTAAAATCATGCTGCATATAACTAGCGACATTGAAAGCGAACGCAGGTTTTTCATATTTTTGGTTTATTACAATATTTATCGCTTCGTGTTTGATTCATTTTTCTGATATTTAGGTACCTAATTTATCATTTTAATTTTGTTTTCATAACCGGAGGTTGACAGCGGTTGGATTCTACTAGGAATATTTCTTTTAGTGTTTTAAATACTTCTATTATAAATGGTTTGTCATTTACAAAATGCCTTGAATTAATTATTGAAAAATGGGCAAGCGGATTAAGGATTTATCGTTCAGAAAATAAATCAATGGACTCTGAATTCATCACTATGTCCAAAATATAGGGTGGTCCAAAAAAGAACGGAATTTTGTTCTTGAGCTGTAACTTTTTTTTTGTCGACCAATTTCCTTTAGTAATGAGCAAATGCAAGCAAGACCAAGACCAAGACCGGGCTAGTCCTTTATACAGGGTGTCCTTAGATAAACTGACACATTTTAGAGGTTAATATCTCGAAAACGAGAAAAGATAACGGGATGCGGTTTTTTCTGGAAGAATAAAGATTTTTTAAAGTTTTTTTTCATGATATTGACGAATCCTGAAATTTGGTTTTACAGACATTCGATTTTTTGAAATAATAACATACTGCCTTATTCTTGATGAAACACCCCGTATATTTTGTCATCATCAGAAAGCGTGACGACTTTTCTACTCCACAAAAATGTTTAATTTTTTTCAATTATCATGAAATTGAATCGTTAAAATTGCACTTGGTTGAAGGACGTACCGTCGACTGGACAAAAAAAAAATTATAAGAATTAATTTGTGTTTTAAATGCACTTGTTTTTGTTCAATTCTTGTATTATTAGTTAACTATGCCCTAATTAGTTATTAAAAGTATTAAACACAAATTGAATCTCAATTTTTTTTTTTTTAGTTAGTCGATGGTATTCCTTTCGACAACGTGCAATTTTCACGATGCAAGTTCAAGATAATTGAAAAAATTATACATTTTTGTAAAGTAGAAAAATCAGGCTTTCTGACAATGACAAAAGATACGGGGTGTTTCATTAAAAATAAGGCAGTTATTTTATTTCAAAAAATCGCATGTCTGTAAAACCAAATTCCAGCAAATTTCAGGATTCGGCAATAATGTGGAAAAAAACTTTGAAAAATCCCTATTCTCACAGAACAATCCGCATCTCGTTATCTTTTCCCGTTTTCGAGATATTTACCTACAAAATGTGTCAGTTTATCTAAGGACACCCTGTATGACACGAATAGGGAAAATACAGGATGTTTTCTTATTAAATGCCAATATTTAAGGAGGCGATTTTTGGGTCCGTTTTAAGAAGAAAACTTCATATCATATGAACGTATGTCCTAATCGTCTTAACTTTTGAGATACAGGGTGTTGAAAATTTTTAAAAATAAAACATATTATATTATTAATATCTATAACACCGCTTTACATATTTTATTGAAATTTGGCATACATGTTCTATGTATCAAGAGACATTCTTTAATATATCCCATTTTTTTAAATTTCCACCAGTGGCATTCGTACGAAATTTGACCTGCCCATTCTGGCAGACATTGATGCATACTACACTGGTTTCTCCTAAGCAAAGTTGATCACTTGATTTTTTACAATCCGACACACGGTTTCCGCTTAAAAAAATAAAAATCGTTTCTCTGCATGATATGTAATAACAATATCGTTAATATGACTCACCATGAGAAATAGATTTTACTTTTTTTCAGGTGAAAACCTCGGGTGAAAACCGTGCGTCGGACTGCAAAAAATCAAGTGATCAATTTTGCTTAGAAATGATTGGGGATTTCAAGAATAATTTTTATTTCAAGAGAAATCAGTGGCGCACCATCATTGCCTGCAAAAATAGGCAGGTTAAATTTCGTATGAACGTCACTGTTGGACAGTTGGGGTATGCTATTTTTAAGTTCATTTAAAAAATAAATACGAACACCAATTTAGGAAAGAAAAAAACTATATTTATTGAACAGCACATATAAAATCATCCATTTGTTCAATTTAACTTTAAATTTTTACTGGTAGAGAGTATGTTCAGGCCAAGTCAGCAAATCCAGCTTTCCAGATGGTATTCTTATATTATCATCGTAATACTTGTGGATCAGTACTTCAGCTATAAAAGCAATAGTTGCTATTGCATGTCCTGCTAACATCAAATAAAACACAAACACTAAATTCTTGAAAGTTAACGTGGTAGTTCCTTCGGCAACTCTTTCATTTTCAGCAATATCTGTAACATTAGCTGAGTTATGATTTTTTGGAGTATACATCCATTTTTCTGCAAGCCCCGATGCAACTGCGTTGTTCAGTAAAGAGTTCACCCTTTCCAAGCCCCAGAAGCCTTTGACCATGAAAAAATTCACTTGATAAGACAGAACTGGATCTGGTAGGATTTTTAAAAGTCGAGTATGCGATGCTGACAAGTAGTTATCTCTAACATATTTAACAAATCCGTGTTGGGCAAGAAACGATGCATTCCTATGCATTGCGACGTCGTTAAGACATTTATCAAAGTCAGCAAGTATGCAACGTGTTCCTCTGTGTACTAGCTTATAGTGTATAGTTGAGCTAATTTGAAAAAAATTCCTAGCATTGGGAGCAATATAGATGCTTAAATTATGCTCCTCAATATCACTAACATCATCATATTTTTCTCTATAGCGATCCGCTTTAGCTAAAACACTGGTCAAATATGTAGTATATGCGGCATTGTATGTAATAGCAAAAACCAAAACCATTGAAAATATCATTCTTAATGCGTGACTTTTTGGTAACGAGCCTACTGTGATGTTGAGCATAATCGTTAATAAATTTTGTACCGCTCTGCTTGGACGTTTGAAGGCAATAGTTTCATCACTTGTATGGTTAGAAATGAAAATAATCAATGATCCTGTTGTAACGCCCAATAGGGCAATCACTATCCAAACATCGTAATGAATTATAGATGCTAATCCTAATAATAATTCACCTAAAGGCAAGTGTTCATGAGGTACTACCCAAACAAGGTTTTCAAAAATATATGGGAAGCTATTGTCAAAAAAAGTCATTCTCGCTAACGTCAATCCGTATACGCCAATAGCCAAATCAGCTTCTTTGTTTAATAGTATCCTCAAAGATCCGGTACTTCTTTTATCAGAATCAATATCCCCTATGATATCGCTCTTAATAAACCTCAAAGAAATATTCATATAGGCAAAAATATTTGTTACTATACCAATTTCGAGTCCATGTGAAGTAAATTCGTCACTACTCAAGACATCTTTCTGTTTCATATTCACAACGTAAGGTGGCACTTCTGCATAAACCACCTTCAAAGTACACGACTTAAATAGTCTAGGAACATTAAAATCATACCATTTTGTGTTCGACGTATAATTTCCCTGTCTGCAAGTGTCAATTAGTTTTATATCTTTTCGTGCATTATTTTTGCAAGTGTCGTTCCTGAACTGTATGAATCCAAACAAATTAAAATTTGATTGGTCTTTCGGATCCCCGATTAGTAATACTGATTTTAATATTTGAAACTCCTCTAGAACTTGAAATATTTCTATTATAATCGGGTGATCACTTTCAAAATGCGTTGTGGTAACTATTAGAAAATTGGCATGTGGATTGAGCACTTTTTGTTCGTTTAATAAATCAATAGACTTTCTAAATTCCCCACTATGTCTGAAATATATGATATAATTATGAATAGTATTTGCTCTTCTTACTTTTGGATTTATTATATTTCCTTTTGTAACATTTGCAATGATTAGAAGCCATTTTTTATAATCAGATATGTCATTTATTAACATAGAGTGTGATACAACGGCCGATGAGTCGTCTGTGTCTTGTTCACTTATTGGCAGAGATATAAAAATAGTTTTCGAAGGTATTCCATACAATTCTTCACCCTTGAGGATGCATTTCACAAACGAATCCCTGTTCACGTTTTTATCACTTCGTGAAAAACACCAAAGTTCGTCAATGACAAACATAAATATCAAAATCATGATCCGTAAAACTAGCGACATTGAAAGCGAATGAAGGTAAGACTAAAAGTGTTTTTTTTTTCCTAGTTTGAGTTAATTACAACATTCATCGCTTCGTGTTTGTATTATCTTGATAATTCACCTCATTTATCATTTTAATTTTGTTTTTATAAGCGGAGGGTGACATTGGACCTGAATTATGTTATGATATCATTAGGGATAAGACATACGTATGTCTGTTTATGTATGGGCAGTGGTGGCATATTTATATTTCTGGATTTTTTTTGAACGTCTTTTGTGGTCAAGTCATTTTACAATTATTGGAAAGTTAATCAAAATTATTGTTTTTGACCAAAAATGCATAATCACTTAATCATTCAATAAACATTTTTTAGTTCTCATAATCCAGGTATTCTTTCGATCTGAACAAACTGATCGAAGTCACTTGAGGTTTGTTTCAAACAATTATTGTCATCTGGTTTTATCGCGATTTCATTGGCCCTAACTGTTTTTTTGACGCCTCATGTTCAAACCTGATGTGATTACAATCAGTTTGTTCAGATCGAAAGAATTCCCCTATTGATTGAAATTTTCTTTATCTTTCAAATATTCGTCACAAAATGTCGAAACATTGAAGGCCTTTTTCTCAAAAATGGTTGAGTTCGGACCTCATGTTGCATAAACTTTTTTGTTCAAAATAAGTTATATTTTCACATGGTAAACACCCTGTATATAGTTTTCAATTATACTGCTGGACACGTGAAGTTACACATACAGATTTTTAGGTAAAATTCAATTTCATCGCCTCGTATATCATAACTCTATGGTCCTATGAGAAATTTAAGGCAAGCTTTATCCGGAAAAAACAGGCTATTGAAGGGGGTGTGACCCAAAAAGACAACTTAAGCTACTTAAATCGAGAAAGAAAATCTAAGATCTCTCGTGAAAACCGCAGTCCTACACTCAAACTAGTTTCCGAGATAATCCCTCGTGAAGAGAAATTATGTGGGAACTTGTGACGTCACACCGGCTAACCGCTGAAATCGCAGCCTTCTGTGATTGTTATTCGCTCTAAGTGAGATGATTGACTTTTGTTTTTACACGTACTTTAACTGTGCTTCTAAAGCTGGTGTGACATCACAGCTTCGGCGTTCGTCGCTTCAAACCGCCCTAACTCGAAAACGGTTCATCCTAGCAAGATGCGGTTTGAATATGTATTCTTAGATTTTTTTTTTGCACCAAAACTTTCATTTTTGGGTCACACCTCTCTTTAAAATTCACAAACCGCGTTAAAAAACCTTTATTCATGTCGAAAATATGAAACTTTGAATTTTGTGCAAAAATCTGTACCTACATGTGAAAGTTCAAGTGTTCCAGCAGTTTATTTTTGATTTTCAACTAAATTTGTTCTAAATAACAAAAACGTAAAAAAAAGAGGAACGCTTATTTTATCGATAAGATAAGGTGTATGAACTGATTGAAACGCAATTCGAATCCAAAAATTATAAGAATGATATTTACAAACTTTATCCCTACAATTGGCAAATAAAATATCTGTTGCACTGTTGTTGGGTTGTTCCTGCTAATATAGTTCAATTTGTACAACTTTATCAAACAACGGCAAAAAAATCTAAATAAATAAGTCCTCTGCAGTGTCAAGGTCTTTAACTATTTCACATCTAAAACCGTTAATCATTATGTTATTAATGACGCACAGCACAAAACTTTCTACTTAAAATTTGATCCTCGCTTCTAGCTTATAGTCGAGGTGAGAACGTTTTCCGAGACACGCACCCAAAATTTTATTTAAAAAATGTATGAAGAAATTCCGAAATTAAACGATTTATTGAAAGGTTACTTTGATGGAGAAATAATTAAGCAATCTATTTCATTGCTGACCGCTGCAGGTGAAAATTATGGCAGTTTAATGTTAAAAGTGGACGTGACAGTGAAAAATAATAGCGGCAAAGAAGAAATTATTCCTACAGTGGCAAAATGCGTACCGACAAATGAAAAAATGCGTGAAATATTTTCTACTCACGTCACGTTTAAAAACGAAATTGGTTGGTACCAACAAGTGATTCCTGCCTTTCTGCAGTTTCAAAGAGAGCAGGGCGTCGAAAATATTGCCGATTTTTTCATGAACATTTACGGTGCAAGAATTAGTTTGAACCCTGAAAGTAAAGAAGTAGACCAGCATGGCGTTATCTTATGTGAAAATTTACATGTCAGAAGTAAGAACTTGTTTTTGTTATTATTTTTGTTTTATTGTGTAGATAGTAACAACTATCTACAGCGTAGGTTTATGTTGGTATTCCAGCCAAATTTTAGTTTTATTTTTTCATCATTAATAAAGCATTTATTTCCTTGACCAATAACGCGTTATAAAAAAAATTAATATGACAATATTATAATTATTACTACTAACTACTAGTACTAGGTTTTTACTATACCTGCAACTAAACTTGTTTGGCAAAGACTGATGTAGACTTACCTGAAAATAAAATAAATGTATTAAAAAACTTTGAAAAGAACTACTAATAACATCAATCTGTTCATACAGATCTAAAATATCCTGGAAGTCATTTGGCACTACATTTTAGTACTTGGCATTGAAACATAATTTCAATAGATTTGAAAACAAAATACAGAAAAACACTTTGTTTCAGGATTCACGAACGTCGACAGAAGAATTGGTTTCAACTTGGACCAAGCCAGAGAAATAATCAAAAAGCTGGCAATATTCCACGCGATGAGCTTAGGCCTCAAAATCAAAAAACCCGAATTATTTAACGAAAAAGTCAAAACCTTCGTGAGTACATTAACATACGATGGACCCAAAAAAAAAAATGAGTTTTATCTTGGACCTATAAATGTAATCAAAGAGAATCCAGAGACGAGCCATTTAGCATCCAGATTTGAAGATAAGATAAAGTCAACAATCGAACAAGAAGTTAAAAAGTCACGTGAATTGTGGAGCACGGCCATACATACAGATTTTTGGGTGAATAATGTTATGATCAAAGAAACTGAGGAGACTTTGGGAATAATAATTTTGGATCTTCAAACTTGTGGATACGCCTCGGTGGTCCAAGATTTAATATTTTTTTTAGGAACCTCTATCGAAAATGCCACCACCAACGAACATTTTAGTGAATTTATTAAATTATATTATAACGAGCTTATTACCAATCTTGAATCATTAAAAGTGGATACTTCTCAGTTTTCTTACGAAAGTTTTGAAGAAGAGTTGAAGCTTGAAGCCGCAGGCCAGTTAATACATATTCTTTTTATGATTCCGATAATATTAGCCGAAAAAGGCAGCGGGGTCAATACAAATGATAAAGAATTTAATCCGTCAGAGGGACTAGAAAAAATGTTTCGAAACATCACTGAAAAACACAGAGAGAAATGGGCGGTTTTAGCTGCGAAATTTGCTGAACAAAATTGGATTTAATTTTGTTGGAAGAATAAAGTATTTATTTGATTTTATTATGCAAATTTTATTTCCTTCCTCACATCAGATTATCGAGAAGTATGAATACATTATGTAATTACCATGTAAATTAACCAATCAAAGAAAATTAACGAGTAAATATTATGTAAAATGCATCCTTTGGGAAGTTCTCCAATGATATCTATATCTATTGACGAACTTCCTGATTTTTTAAGCATAATGTATATAGATATATCCTGATTAGTAATTTGTAATAAATAGGTAGGTATCTTAATAAATGCCTTAAGGCTCCTCAAGAAAAATCTGAGAAAGCTATAGGTAGCTATCAAAATTTTACCAATAGTACAAATTACTAAAACACAAATATTCACAGCAACTTCAAAAAATGAAGCGCAAAGGAGCAGAAACCTACTACAAGTAGCTTGCTCTTATTCTGTATACAGGGTGTATCAGGTTTGACTACAAATCATTATGAGAACAAGAAAAATTAATTTCATTTAGGTAATTACTAAGTAATTATGCATTTTCAGTCGGAAACAATATTTAAAAATTAAAAAAATAACATAAAAATGTTACTCGTAACATCTGACAACATAGAACAAAAACAAAAGAATAGGTAGCTCAGGTAGTTGAACCGATAATAATCTTGTTTTGTCAGTTACTTGTTTATATATGAGATATTACTTGTTCACAGAGAATCATTACAGAATGCTCATCCAGTCACCAGAATTTACAGGAATATATTTCCTAATAGGACGGCACCTAACGAAAGAACATTTGTGTCCATTTCGCAAAGATTGCGTGATACGGTAAGTGTAAGTGTGCAAAATGTTAATCGGAGACTTGCAAAACAAATGAAACCGGCCGGTGAAGAACAGATTTTAGCGATAGTGGAAGATAGCCCTGGAATAGGCACTTAATCCAATGCCCGACAAGTAAGATATTCCCACTCAACAGTTCATCGGACCCTCTCACAAAATTTGATTTACTCGTATCATGTACAGCGTGTACAGGCATTGTCTCCTGAAGATTTTCAAGGCAGAGTTCGTTCTTGTGAATGGTTTCTCTATCTAGTGACGAATGTTTCTTAACAAGAGATGGAAGTTCAAATTATCACAACACACACCTGGGCACAAGAAAATTCACATAGCATTTAACAAGGCCGATGTCAGCAAAGATTTTCAATATAAATATTTGGACAGGCATTCTTGGAAACAGTTTGGTTGGACCCTTTTAACTTCCATCGCGATTAAATGGCGCTTTATATCCAGCTTTTCTACGTGATAATTTGGCCTGGAAACTTTATTGGAAACTACCTATGTCCTTAGAACAGCGAACTATCATGTGGTATCTTCATAACGGCGCCCCTACTCACTTGTGTTTCATTAGGAACTTTCTGTGCAGTGTATTCTGTCATCAATCATGGTCATTTTAGTGTTTTGAAAACCTTGTGATAAAAGTTAGTATTTTGATAATCAGGATTTGGCACACTCAAAAAAATCTTCATCATAATATCAATGAACTGCTTTCATCAATTATAGTTTCATTGATTCAGTGAAATTTTCATTAATGCCAAGTACAGAAAACTGTAAGCATTATGATTTCATGAACAGCTATCATTAGAATAAAAAATGAAGCTTCAGTAAGTTATAAATAGTAATCTACATTAATCTGTGTTGAATAGTGCATCGGTTACACGAACTAAGTTCATTGATATTATGAAATTAAAACTTGATATTAAAGAAAATTTCTTTCATGGAGCTTCCACGGAATATTCATAATATAAATGAATATTAATATGAATGTGGTTCATATAGCCTTACTAGAAACTTTTCCTTTCAGGAACGAAATTCATTGAAACAATGTACGGTTCTTTTAAAACAAGTAAATATTCCTAGAAACAAAGCTGTAACCATTAGATCAAGATAAATCATAAATACCATGAAGCAGTTCATGGCATTAATGTACACATTTCCTAAGCACATGCGCAAAGGTAGCTGCTGTCTGGTAACGGCATAGAAAAATAAGAATAATTACATTTTTATTTTCTGGATGCATCGCTACGTACTTCGTTCTAGTCGGTTTTTTCGGTCTTGTGTTGTTCGAGGTGGTGAATAGAAAGTCGGTAATACCTGTCGCCGGTTTTTTCTAAAAGGTAAGTTGTATACCTCTATTACCTCTATAATATGTATACCTATTATGTAGGTAGGACTTTGATGCCTTGCACGGAGACGGTCTAGTCTCGAAATCGGAATGCAAAAGAAATGACCTACAGATTTTTATTTCATCCGGGGAGAACGTGAAAGGCAAGAGAATTTCTAAGGAATACTGAAATCTGTATAAGTAAGTATACCCAATCTCAAATCAGTTTGTAATTCTCATCGATATGTTTTTGTTACATAGTTTTGTTTCACTAGGTAGAAAAGCACAAGATTCAATGCCGCAGCTAGTGTTTCATAGCCGAGGCAAGGAAACCAGTCAAGGCATCAAATCTGATTTTCTGACATGGCTTGTATTAGAAACTTTAGATGTTGATAGTTCCAAAACACCTGGAACAAGCATAGACATATTATATATTTATGGAAACAGGATTCAAGGAGGATTTAAAAGATGGTACAATATACAGTAAGTGCCATTCGAAATAAAAATACTTAAGTACTTAGATTTTTTAATTTTTCTCTCAAATTTACAATGTCGTGACATTGTTAACATTTTTCTAAATTCAAATTCTGCGATAACTCCGAAAATACTAAGAATTAACCAATTGTTAACAGGACATAGTTTTAGCTTGAGATGTGCCATAGTATCACATGTTAAAATATTTGTACCTACTCGCACCTGATACACCTTGTATAGCGATTTGAGGTAAAAACTCAAAGATTGAATCCGTGCTGCTAAAAGTGCACACAATAGACCAAAAAAAAATAGACCTACGATAAAAATTGTTGTTCGAACCAAAGGGCATACACATATAACTTTGCTTTTGAAGTAAACCCACCCACCTGTCCTTTATCTGGGCCTACATTTCAAAAGAAATGTAAATAATGCAGCATACCTGGTCAAGGGACATATTCGTAGGTTCCTTTACTTAGGTACTTCTATAAGCAGATAATGCCTAGTTTTCATTGCCACTCGGTCCTCTTTTTCTTCTAATATACGCACAAAGAATTTTTCATAAAACTCACAAATTCAAATACCGTTTCTATACCAATACCGTTAGTGAATCTCTTCTCACGATTTTTAATGTTTAATTTATGGATCAGGTAGGCGTGAGCATTGGTAGAATAACAACTTTAGCTGCAATACCAATAACAATTTTATAATTTAGTTCGACTCTATATTGACTCGTAAAGTAAAGAATGCACTTCTCAGTTTCTTGACAAACCACGTCTCGGTAATAAATGTGTTGTTAGCGTTACTAATTGGAAAATATTGAATTGCCTCGAATCATTGAAGGGTTAGTTGCGTATATTCGTTGAACAAAATGATAAAATGTCGAGTTAGAGTGAGCATAGAAAGCTAGAGCCTACAAAATTCCGAAAAAGTAATGATCTGTTACAAGTCAGCGTAATTGCACAAAGTCTTCTCTCATAAATAGCGTCCCAAATTTAGAGCAACAATTTAGAAAAACTGACAAAAATTAAGAGTATTGGACTGGTCAATAATAATTGACGCTGCATTCGATATTGCGATCGTGACTGATACATTTAACTCGATAAAAACACATCGGCTATTTCATGTTTCAAGTTTCAATTTAATTTCTAATGTTTATCAAATATCTATACGATATCACGATTTGCCAGTTTCCACTGAAAAAATTAGAGTAAGTATAATTGGCGCGGGTATAAAAACGAAATCTTTTAAAGCTCTAATGATATTAGCTTTCCCAATTTAAAGCGTGAAACTGTGATCGTCCCATTTAGCTACTAAGTCACGTAGGTACCCACTTCACCACGAATGCGAATGGTTTGGTCAAACCGACATAATAAGTATATTATCTTTTACATTGGTTTTAAGTAATTTTATTAGTAAGAACAAGTTATAGATAATCCAAACATCAAGCAAATCGCCAGCAGATGAACACTAAATTCTAAACAAGAAACCAATGTGGACTCTGCAGAGGAGTAAAAAGCAATATACATATAACCAAAGTTCGTTCCATGATTAGCCTGATGATTCGAGGAATGAAGGGTCGGAGAGTGAGGAGCTGAATAATTTGCAGAATGTTTAATTCTATTTCTTTCTTGACCCTTCAAGTCAACTCTTCTTCTGATGAAGAAAATAAGCCACGAAAGCAAAGAAAACTAAATAGAAAAAATGAGCGAGTCTTCTTGGACTCGAGACACTGATGTGTAAACATTTCATCCGGTGATAATATTAATACTAAGGGCGGGTATTGTAAAACTATTTTGACAAACAACTAGAAGTTAACTTCTGGAATGACTTGAGATGTGACTTCATTCCAGAAGTTCAATACCACCTAGGACGCAAGCGCTGAAGTAGCTGTGTACTGATCACATGTCATATCCGCTTTCACACTTCCGTCCCTATTTCCCAAGATTTACCCTCATCACCGCCAACAAAGATGTTTACACATCAAAAGTAAGCAATTTTCCGTAATGTTTCCGAGTGATCATTTTTATAACGACCCTCAACTAAGGAAAATTTGATTGAAGGTAGCAGGTTAAAGGTATAGATACAAAAATATAAGATTTTTTTTTAAATTATTTTTTAGAATTATGTATCAGACAAAACAATTTCTTATCAAAAAGCGCGGAACAAGCAAATATTTGAGCAATGTCAGTTTTTCTCAAGTAACATTGTTATTTATCCTCACGCCCGATTGAATTCTTGACCACAAGCACTCAGATTAATTTGTTTTAGATTTAAGAAATGCATAAAAAGAATAATACTACCTATAGTAAAGTATCGTAAAACCGCAAATTAGAGCGTAAAGCAACTAATGCAAAATAATAAAATGTAAAATATTGTTTACAAAGTTTCCAAGCCATTAATGTTGCACAACATAAATTTT